TTATGTACAAAAAGATTATTTCCACCATATTAAGTGACGAATATTTAAACACACCCCACACCCCGTCCTCCTCGAAATTATTGAAAATTAAAACGTTACGAAAGTTGATATTGTGTTCTAAGTTCGATACCCGAATCTCAAGTTTTGTACATCCATTCATATCTCCGCATCGACAGAAGGCCAAAATAATAACGCGAAAATTACGAGCGTGCGTGAGCGACCAACTCGTAGATTTATGCGGATGTGTTTCGTTTCGATATTTTAAAAATTTGATTTATATCAAAATAATATTGATGTGTACGTACACACGTGCAGAACGAATGGATGGGTATATAAGTATTATAATATTTTACCTACCGAATCCAAAAACCACACGGTAAGCGGGGGGAGGGAGAGGGGGAAAGACGGTCGGAAAAAAATCTCGGTATACAAAAGAACAAGATGGAAAAAAATCGTGATTCGGCAAAAGGCACAGATAACTAGGGACATATATTATAAATGTCTTAGCGATAATCATGGTCGTTTTTTTTTTTCGCCCCGAGTTGGATTGAATGTTTATAAAGCGTTTTTTTCCGGAATGGATTAGATTTAGGCCGGATTGCATAAACGTTCTATGGCGGCTAGCAACTTACAGATTCACCGGTGGATCTGTAAATAACATTGAGTATTGCTAACGATTTTGTAAATTATGGCTTGTGAAGATAAAATTTAGCCAACGGTTTAACTTAGATTCCATATCCGAAACTGACGGTACACTTTTTTTCTACGAAATTTAAAAATACTTATTTATTAAAAACGAAAAGTTAAAAAGTGATTATCTGCAGAAAATTAAACTCTATAAAATGGCTGTCTTCAAATTTTTTGAAAATAATAAACCGAATAGTTATTTTTAGATAATTTTTTTTATCGAAACGTAAAGAAAGTAATTCAAATATAAATATATAAATAATTTTATTTCTAATCACTGCGGGTAATTTAAAAAAAAATATTAAATATAAAATATATTAAAAAAATAAAAAAAAAAATAGAAGTTGATTATGTTTATTATCTCAAGAGACAATCGTGACACACTCTGTATACATAGCATTTGTATCAATGATATGCATTTTGAGAGTTTCAATTTTCAAATCACATCAGTACAATTCTAATTATTATGATCAAATTAAACCGGGGTTTTTTTTTTTTTTTTTAAGTTGCGTAATAATATTAAAGTACCCACACTTAATTTAGTATATTGTACTATTATAGTGTTCGGTTTTTGTTGGTGTTTCAAATAGCGTTTTTATTACTATACACAATAAGACGGGGGGAAGGGAGGGGTTAATTTACTGTAGCGAAGGAATTCCGCTGTGTTGTTTTATATTCAATCTGCCGTTACGGAACCGTTTTTTTTTTTTTTGTCCCGAGCGCCCGAAACGATTCCGTACACGTTACCTATATGATTTACGAACGATATTATTATAATATAATACACAAAGTTCGCTTACGGTGTAGATTTGTTTGCTCGATCGTTTGTGCCGAGGCCCATTATTAATGGCGCGGAGAAAGAAGTTTCCTATTATGAATTTTTTTTTTTCTTTACGGTAAACGCGTTACTGCTTTAGTTGTTTTTTAATAATATGTATAAACTATCATTGCAGTTTTCGTACCACGCGGCGCAAAAATACGTGCAGAGTACACGTTAAACATTTTAAAACTTTAATGTATTTTTTTTTTTTCGACGGAGAGAGAAACAAAATCAATTTAATTCCCGTGCCTCGAATTATTATTTTTAAACGCCTTAAAAATCTTCGAGCGATTTCACGTCTACATTATGTAGTACAGGAGTAGAGGGGAAGGATAACTTTACATATTATTGTAATATTATATTATTATAACAATATATATTACTTACTTACTTACTTACTTACTTACTTACTTACTTACCGTACATACATTATGCAGTAGTTTATACAAAACGCCACCCGCGTGGGTATTAGGTATTCAATTGCGCGGGATTTGAATAAATTATCGTTATCGACACCGAGCGAATCCGGCGCGAACACTACTCCGGCACGGCGCCCTTACAAAACGCCAGAAAATGGAAAATATTCGCAGATACGCTTTTACCCGCACAAGGGACGCGCTCGAGCTATTTCGCAATTTCTCCAGGTGATGCAACAGCTGCGGCCAAACAGAAGGCTTGGCCAGTCGGTATACCCGGAAAACCCGGCGGCGACCCTTTCAGTAGGCCCGAAAAACGTCCTCCTTTTTACATTTTTTTTTTTTTTTTAAACGTAATATTTTAATTCGCCATATTACTCGCTTTGTTTAAAGAGTCGTTTTTTCTCGTTTGTCTGTCTCGCACGTAATATAGCGACAAGGGCATTTCGAATTTCTGCGATTTCTACTCTCTGGTTGAGTTATGTGCACAAAGACCACTATACATTTTTTAATACATTTATTAAAGGCGAGTATTTTTTTTTTTTTTTTTTTTTATGGTCAACACACGATTATCATGTTGAAATAGTTTTTTTTTTTAATACAATTAAAAAAATAATAATACCATTGGTATATTCCGAAAATAATTTTTTTTTTAATCCGGAGAGTTGCAATCGTGAAAAGGCGGAATATAACTTTTTTTTGTTATACTGTACAGAAGAGATTCATAGAGAAAACATATATTCTGCTGACAAAGCCCCTTATCATACACGCAGAGTTTTAGAAATATTTGACACTTCCTATGCTCTCGAAATTGTTGCATGGCCTTGTTTAAGATTTTGAAAAATGTAGGTACCTAGAAAAATGTTTCTACCAAATGATTGTTGATAATTTCAAGTCGCCTAATTTTTTATCGCTGTATTTTGTACTCGTAAACACAATCGCACATTTAATCGACGATCGATACTCTTCGGGGTTGATTGTGGTGGGGAATTTTCCGTAATTTTTCGGTTGTCAAGCTAGGTTTTCTGCTGATAAAAGTACCGAAAATTCTGACAAACGAAATTAGAGAATGTATACGATTTTTAAGCGATTGTAAAACGTCGTAGTGGACAATAATATTAAGTAATAAAATAAGTTCGTGTTTGAGGTAGCCCAGAAAAGGGCATTTTTTTAAGACTGGGCCAAGATACCCTGGAGCGTTTGACTTTAACGATTTGATGTCGTTTAGTTTCATGCTATAATTCATTGTATAAATTGGCAGATGATACTTCGAAAGTATACTTTGAATATATTATAGCATTACTTACAGGTGTGATTACGAGAAGGTATTATATCATCCACCCTGTTTTATAATGTTTTAACCTGCCGATTTACATGCTTTGAGCGTCATAATATTACAAGTATGAGGAATTTCATAGTATTATAATAAGTAGTGGGAATTCAATGCACTCTGTATTGTTTTCAAAAGTTTGTTATGACGATTGCCACGACGTTTTTTTATAGATACAATTCGTTTTGAAAGAGAATAAGACATTTTTTTTTTGTTAAATTTTTGGTGCATTTTTAGTGCTTTTTGGGACGAATTTCCGGCGTAACTATAGCAATTCGCTTGTTATAATATTTCACTCGGCTCCATGTGGACCCGCTGTATTGGACTCGAGGGACAAAATAATCGACTCGGGCTCTACCCGTTTCGGTCGTTCGGAAACCGGAATTTAATAATCCGCAGCGGTGGTCGGTCGACGACGTGATGTTTTCGCAATAAACTAATGGACGCGGAACAACATTTACGCGTTTAACCTTTGACGGTTAACAATAATAATTATTATTTGTCCTACTTTTCGCCATCGTCGTCGTCACACCATCCGCAATCGCCAATCTAATCGATCCGACGCGGTTGTATTACGAGCAATACGGCGGAATGAACGTGTTTTGATAAAGCAGTTTTTACAACCATGGGTTACCATAGATTAGCGGACAAACCGTCTTTATCGATATTGTTTGCTGCAACTTTTTTTTTTTGTTGTTGTTGACTGAATGCACTTTATGACGACCGCGTTACCGAGTGCAGCGAAAGCTAATTAAAAACTACGTTTACTGCGTGCGGTTACTGCGAGTTTTCGGTGGGCGGAATATTGTACAGCGAAAAAAAAAAAACGTTTTCGCGATATTACGACCGGGTAACGAAACAACAACAGACGGTCCACCGAAAACTGCAGCATCGCCAAAACCAGCCTATTGAACAACCAATCGAATTATGTATTATACATATACTGAACGCATATATCGCGGATTCCAGATAAAAAAAAAAAAAATGCTATTTTTATTACTAAGAACGTATTCGATAGGGTTTTTAGCGTGCATATTTTTCTCTATAAGATTTACGTCAACACTCGGTACCGCCGTATTTAATGTATTTGAGGAAATCGCTGTAACATTAAATTCCGATCATCCTGTAAAATATCGTGTGTTTAACAGGTAGTGCGTCACACTCGATTTCGGCGAAAACACGGAAACAAAAATAACGAAAAGTATTATAAAATAATATTATTGCTATATTTTCGGTGGACATGATGGCTCGAGGCGACTGCATTGAGACGATGGTTACCGAGCCACTGTGAATTCTGAGCACGAAATTTTATATTACCGCCCCGCAATTCGGAACACGTTTAATTAAATAGCTGCACTGCGCAGTGCTGTTATAATATAATAAAATAATATTATAAAAGAACTCGACCGAGATGATTCTTGAGGCCGACTGCCGGAGTATAATATTTTAATACGATTATTATCACCGTCGTCGTCATCAAAATCTGGGGTTATTTATAATTGAAATTTGCATACTACACGTTGAATAATAATAGAGGCAGTGTACTGGGGAGGTACGCTAAGTGCGTTTTTCAACAGTAATTTTTTTTTTTTTCAGGCTTTTTATTTGCGAACGAGAGATCGTCAAAAACTAAACAAATATTATTAAATTATCACTTTTTTCCGGAGGCGGTCGTGTGAACCATGCAGAAAATTTTCAAATATTTTTATATAATATACCTATACAGGAGTACTCAAAAGTTAAAAAAAAAAAAATGGACTAAAAACAAAGGGGAAAAATTGGCATTTTAAGTGACCAATTTTTCCCCTTTGTGTTTAATTCTAATTTTGTAATTTTTTTTGATAACTTTTATTGAATTTTTTGGCTTATGTATCTTGAAATCGAATAATCCGGAGGACAACTGTGGACCCTTGGCCACCCCTGTATAACTCATCGAGCGCTACGGTTATAATTGCATCATAATCATAATGAATTCTCCGGGTAATGCGCAGAGTGTACCTGTCTACCAAAGCACAGAAAAAACACAACGATAATAATATTATTTGTCACGTCATGTGAAATCACGTCCACAGAAACATAATATGCTGTACGGTCATTCGCCTTGTCACGTCACGTCAGACCCTGCAGTGCGGTGTACACGTACAGCATATTAATTATTCTCATTTTTTTTGTTTTTTAAATTTCTTCAAAAATCTTAACGCGAAAACGTGCCGTCGGAGCGCGTGAAAACCTAAAACAGCTAATAGCACAAAGATATAAAAAATATTTCTTCAAAGAACTGAACTATGGAGGATCGGTGAAAACTTCTCAAATTTACTCCGATTTTGTTAAATTTAAATTATTACATTCTGTTTACATTTGAATTACTACCTTAATGATAAGACATCCATTGATCTACTGCCCGATAGGTCAGGTTTTGAGTGAGTTATCGACTGTAAGATCCTTCTTATAGGTAGCCATATGCCTAGAGTTATTTTTCATATTCAAATAGAAAATGCTACCCGATAATATTGAGGGAAGTTTTGATGCAAACTTATTATGATTATAATGAAAAGAATAAATGTTGAAAGAGGTGTAAATGTATTTAATAATTTGGAGCTATATCCTGAAAACACTATATTAGTTTATATTTATCTTATAACCCTTATATATTAAAAAAAACTCTAATTTTAGATTCTGAATGGAGCGAACAAGCTTATTGTTTTACAAAGATGTTTATTATTATTTTTTTTTTATCTTTTAACAACTTTTCTTCCAGAAGACTTGCTCGGATTTCTAAGTGTAGCGCCTTTTCTAAAAGAAACCGGTGTGGGGAGGTACTTTGTTTCTGTGCATAACTTTTTTACTAGAAAGTTCGCTTCAACTTTTAATGATAGCAATGTTTCTAAAAGGAAATTTCACTAGAGATGTATGTTAAGGAGGTCATTTTTCGACTATTTCTGGAGTTTTCCCAGTAAATGTGAAAAACCGGGATAAAACGTGGGAAAACCGGTAAAAACGTAGGATAAATTGAGAAAATCGGTACAAAACTAAACAAATATTATTAAAAAAAATATATAAAGCCTATTTAATTATTTACTATTAAAGGAAATTTGTATATTGTTTGCAAAGCATCTTTATCAACTGAACTTCACTTAGAATCGTTTTATCGTAAGCAATAATTTATCGTTACTATATGTATGCATTAAATTGTCTTTAACAGTGGTGGCACTCGTCCCTATTTTCCTAGGACGTCTTTTTAAATATTAAACGTATAAAAATAACTAAAAAAATAGACGAATAATTTAGAACATTTAATCACATTGAAAATAAGCAATTATTATTATTCTGTTCCAGGCCTCTACAGTTATTTTTAACTGAATTAAATAACAAAATAATGAAACCATTATACTATATAATAACCATTATATAAACTTTTTAGTTTTTCCCAAATTTTAAGGAAACAAAACTGAAAATGAAAAATATGAAATATTAGATCTGAAAAGCTACAAGAAAGTACCAGTTTCTGGTAAACAAGTTATTTATAAAAAAAAAAAAAAATCGTACTTATCATAGTAAACTAATACGTTCCTCGCTCGGAGTATAAAAAAACGATGACCGACGTAAAACATGCTAGCGAATATAAATGAAAAATTAAAATAATAAAAGCGACTACAATATTAGTATAAAATGTGTGCAGTGTTTGTTTCTGACGGACATACTAAAACATTATTTTTTGAAAAAAAAAAAAACAAAATAAACGCTTCTGGGAAACAGAAAATCGATCGGTTGATGGTTAAGAGAGATTATTTTATTACGAGGAGTGGTGCAAAAGAAAACGGGGCAAAGAGAAAAAATGAAAAAGGTCGTAAGTCTGATTTAAAACGAGCGTGCTGGCCAAAGCTGAGACGGACGTGTATAATAATTGGCTAGACGGCAGTAGAGTCAAATTTTCACATCGTGTCCAGGGTCGTCTTTTAAGTTACGAGACTTTATACGTTATATTATATAGTATTTTGTTTATAATTTTTTTTTTTTTTTTTTTTTGAAGGGGGTCGATTAAATTGGATATCACGAAAGCTGCTGTGTGCAAAGTCAAAAGGATTTCGAGCTCATGATGTGAGGAATCGATACGTTAATTCGTCGTGACAGAATCGTAAAGCCGTTGTTACAATATTCGTAAATGGAGTATATTGCAGCAGACGGATTATCGATAATCGGGTATAGTAACAATGCGTTCTTTCGTTGAATTCGAAACTCAAAATTTTCATAATTAAAAATTCCGAACTTCAGGTATCTCAAAACATGCATTGTTTTTTTTTTATCAATCCGAATATTGGTTTATTATATACACGCAATTTACAAACGATTTTTTCTCCATACATTCCCGTTGTCTGCTATGAGTTGTCCACTATGAGTTTTTTGAAAAAAAAAAAAAAACAACTCGTTGGTCATCTTCTTGATAGTGAATTCCCCGCGAATTCTTAAATTATTAAGTCGTGTAATTCGTTCCGACGTCCAATTATTTTATAATCTGCCATGCTATCTCCTTTTCTATGGAATATCTATTGATGTTCGTTTCTTTTCTATAGGATAATCATGTCTCATCTATATAATGCCATAATACACACAAACGTTTTTACGTGCTTCTTTTTGGTATTATTCGTATTGTTCGTATTATTTTCTATGGGAAATTTTTTTTATTTCCGAGGAATACAATTTTCGCTTGTCCTACTCTGCTATTGGTTTCCTTTTAAATTTTCCATAATCTGTTATAATGTTGTCCATGTACTTAAAACAGTTAACTCGATTGCAAAACAGGTATATATGGTACAGTATATCGTATTAACCAGCTGGGTTAGGCTGCAAGAGCCTTTGTTACATTTCTTTCGAGCATACTATATACTTGTATGTATACATATGTATTTGAGTTTTTTTTTCTTTTTTTGATTACCGAGATCAGAAAGTCACTTGTAATCTTCGTTTAAAAACTGATATTTGAAAGTTTCACAAACAGCCGAAAACTCAAAAATATAGTTCGCTCTATCCCGCGGGGCCTGTAAATATTATATTTTGTTATTTTCACGGTTTTCTGCAGTCGAACCGGCCCGAGTGCCGACCGACTCCGGAGTGGCGTCAAAACTGTCCGGCCGACCGCAGTGCGTTTATGAAATAAATCATGTGAATATACTGGCGCGCTTTGATATTTCCACAAACTTTCGAATTTATTTTCGTATACGAGCGCACGTCGAGTATAAAAGGCTTTTTGTTTTTAATTAACCATTAGAATTTTAGTCTACTCGACAACCTCGACAGTCGTGTTGCAAACTAAAATAACCTATACAAAACAAAATGTCATAAAAGAATTCGCATTTTAATGCGGGAAAATATTTATATTAGTCTTCAGAGCTTGCACCGTTGTCATTGCGTTCGCGGCTCTTTTCACGTGCATACAGAATTTATTGCTAAGTATGTAAGTTCGTTTCGCAGTGTGGATGGCAAAGACTATAGTTAAAACCTAAACAATTTTAATGGAATATCATATTGCCTGTTTCTATTCGGAGTTCTTAAATCCAAAAAATCCAAATGCGTCATTCTACATTTTCTGGCATATTTCACTGTAATATATTTCCGAAATTCTAGAAACCGTGTACGGTTAATTTCATAATTAAATACTTCCTAAATATGTTCTTCTGTAATTTAATACTGTGAGAATGATACTCAACTATATTTCTCTCCACTCTTGTGTATTTCCTACGTTCTATCAAGACTTTTTGCAAAACATCACTCCGTCTTTTCCTATAGGTCAACCCCTGGGAGGTCTCTTATAATTACTCACATTAGTTTGCATCTTTGCTTATTCGCACCACGTGCTCAATATAAAGCCTTTACATTGTTTTTATAATTGAAAAAAAAAAATTACAAATATAAAATATTTTTTCACTTAAATAAATTATCAATCATAAAAAAAATGTGCATTGATGTAAAATGTATACAATAGATCAATCTATCAATATGTAATTATAATATATTTTTTACTATTTAAAATATATACCTAGGTATTTATAAACCTATATTACTGGTAAATTTTTCATATAACATTACAATACCTACTTAAATATAGAATTTATTTATATTTGTTGATGCAAGTTCCTTTGATAGAAATTAATATTAGGTATATATTTTTTTTTTAAATGCAAACATACTGTGCATCGATAAAGCAAAACTGATGAAATATTTAAAAGACGTCTTAAGATAACGGGGACGGGTGCCACTACTGTTATAGATAATTTAATGTATACACCTGTAAGCAACGATAAACTATTGCTTATGAAAAAACGATTCTGAGTGGAGTTCAGTTGACAGTGATGCTTTGTCAACAATATATATGTATATATGTAATTTTATAATAAAATCATTAAATAGGTTATATATATTATTGTATGGTGTTGTACTGGTTTTCTCAATTTTCCTACGTTTTTCCCAGTTTTCTCGTGGTTTTTTCGGTTTTTCAAATTTTATGAAAAAACTTTTGGGAACATTGAAAAATGATCTGTTGAAAGTACATCCACACACCAATTTAATTTCAGAAAAGGTGCTACACTTAGGAATCTGAGCGAATATCCTGGTAGAAAAAGTTGTTAATAGATTAAAAAAAAAAACCAAACATCTTTGTAAAACCATAAGTTTCTTCGCTTCACTCGGAATCTAAAATAGCTAATGGCTTGTTAAAAAATAAATATCAACAATATTCACAGTGTTATAATTAAATATTGAATTCAAAAAGTTTCCTAATGCAACTCTGCAAAAACATTAGTTATTTTGAAATCCTGCATAATTATAATGTTTT